ATTTTCATAGAATTAATATTTTGATAAAGCTCTATAATGCCTTTGTCAGGCCCCAGTTGGAGTATGCATGTAGTATCTGGTCACCTACAGTACAGTAGAGACTAGATAGAGTTCAAAAGAAATTTTTGAGATATTCGTATTTCAAACTTTGGTATATTCTATATTTCCTCTGCTAGTGTCATATTGGAGACCTTTAAGCTTCAGTACCTTAGTAGGAGAAGGGCAGTTCAGTCCTTACTTTTTATTTTCAATATAGTCAATAATACTTAATATACAGACTGTGAATTTAATAATCTAATCAAATTTCAGGTTCCTAAAATTAACCTTAGACTGAGGAACTACAACATTTTTGTGATAAACCGGTCAAGTTGCTCACCGCTGAGCCATATCCTGATAGAGTGTAGCGATATCTCAGAGAAGTGTAACATAGATATTTTCAACAAAACTGTTGCTTCAATCAAAAAATTGACTAGAGGATGATACACACCATTATGTTTGAGCCCAATTGCTGTGATTTATCTCGCCTATTTATTTATTTTTGTATTATTTATTTATCTGTTTTGTTTTATTTATTTTTTGTTATCGTTTTAGTTTTAGCAGCCCCCTTACTCGTAATTACCTATAAGTGTTTGTAAGGTGTAAGTATTTAAAATAAAAATAAAAATATCATCGGCTAAACATAAGTGGTTTAGTCGTTTTCCGTCGATGTTGATGCCTTTTTGGTCCCACGATAGACTTGAATATATTTTCTATCGCAAGAGTGGAAAGTTTGGGTGAGATGGTATCACCTTGTCTGACACCTCTTTTTGAAGGAATTTGGCCAGTAACCCATTCTTCGTCCATTTTAATATGTAGAGTGGCACGCTCGTAGAAAGATTCAATGATGTTGGAGTATCTATTGAATCTTTACGTGCTTGATCCATTACTCCGAGCACAGCCCAAATTTCGACGGAGTCGAAGGCTTTTTGATATTCTAAATGTAGACGGATGTTATATTCGGTGCATTTTTCGATGAGTGTTCGAACTGTTTTAATATCGGTGATTGGTTGTACTGTATCCTTTTCTGAACCCCGCTTGTTTGATAGGTTGGTAAAAATTTCTGGCTGAGGCGGATGGTTATGATTTTTGTTTAGTTGTTTATAAAGGCTTGACAGTAGACTGATGGGTCTAAAGTTTTCTAGACTTGTACAATCCCCTTTCTTGAAGAGAGCAGAGATCTCTCTTCCATTCTCTCGTGTTTTGCTCTATTCAATACTTTCATTCAACAGTATCAAAATTGAATCTTCTAGTGCCTCCCGCCAACCTTCAGCATTTCACTCGTGATTCAGTCCTCCCCTGGCGCTTTACCATTTTTTAGTTTTTCAAGTGCGTTTCTTATAAACTGTGTGGTACATCTTCTGATTGCACGTTCAAAACGGGTCTCCGCAGTTCTTCTAGCTTGTCTTGGTTTTGAACAGATTGGCTGTAAAGTTTCCGATGGGTTCTGTGATCTTGTCTTTTTTCTCCCCGAGCTTATTCCTCAATTTGTGAATTTGTAGCTTTCCTTTTGACATATTTGGTTGTGCAAATTTCATATTTATGCTGTTCTCAATGGTTCCTTGATTTTGTGTATGTTGTAGGCTCTTACCTATTCTGATGGCTTTGTTCATGGTCTTATTCAGTTTTCTGTAGTTTGTTGAGTCACTGTCAGTTTTCCTTGTTTCTTCAATTAGTCTCCTGATGTTAGGACTGAGTTTCGGGTTTCCGTGTTTCTAAAGCAAAGATACTATTTCAGAAGCTGTTCGCACGCTGTTCGTGATTTTATTAATAATTCGTTATGCAGATTTTCGATTGGTCGTAGTTTCCGTTCGAGTTGGGTATTGTACCCCTGTTTTTTCTCTCGTATTTCTCCAATATTTGGTGTACTTTTCTTCTCAATGTAGCAGGTTCCTTCGTGTTCACTTGGATCGAACTGGTTTAGTACTGACACATCTACGCATAGGCCTTCATCTGTGACAAGTATATAATCCAATCCATATTCATCTTATGGCCATTTGCACCGCTATCACTTAAGGGATATTAAGGGATATTTAATTTAAGTGGAGCTTTTGAATGTGATTTTTGTTTCTACGAGAGTCACATTCAAAGTTCCACTTGGATTAGATGTCCCTTAAGTTATACCGGTGCAAATGGCCGTTAGTCTCCAGAATACCCACTTAACTTTGTATATGTGTGCGTTGGAGGTGTCACTTGCTGCACTGCGACCAAGGTTGATATATTGTATCCCTCCTTCTGCTATTAGGTTCGGGTTTCCTGCTCAAAGCAGCCCCTCCAGTCCTGTGTCCGTCAGAAATTTTAGGATGTCTAGCGGTTCCAGGGCTGGAATGTCTTCCAACTGTATGAGGGCACTTCCCAGGTTCTTCATCCTTGAGCAACTAACGGCAAAGCAGTTTAGTAGAAGATGGTGAGGTGTCTCTTCTCCGTCTTCACAGAATCTGCAGGTACCACCTTCTTCTAACCCCGACTTCTGTAGGTGTTTCTTAAGTCTGCAATGTGCCGACAGAAACCCGGTTAAATTCTTGAGACTTTTTTTGCTAAGGTTGACCAGCAGTTCTGATCTTTTTTGGTTGAAGTTGCCCAACAGATCTTTTGCCTGTCGTAGTCCCTGGCTGTTTTAGCCATTATTTGTTCCTTAGCCGGTTCTCTTCTTTTTTTTTGAGGATTTCTTAAAGGTACCGTATTTTCAATGCCGCAAAATGGTTCTGGCCCAGTGGAAGGAGTAGACGCTCCTGTTCTTGCGAGTCTGTCTGCGCATTCGTTGCCCTCGACACCTATGTGTCCGGGCACCCAGAGGAGGGTTACCTTATTTTGTTTTCCCAGTTCATTTAGTTTCTGTAGACATTCCCATACTGTCTTAGAATTGATGACCGGGGATCTCAATGCTTTGATAGCTGCTTGGCTGTCAGACATTATTACAATCTCTCGTTTCCGATAACTTCTGTTCAGGTTGAACTGCACGCCGATCGCATGAGGTTCCGCTTGAAATATGCTTGGTGATTCCCACATTGACTCCGAGTATCTGGTCCGTGGCCCGAATACTCCGGCTCCAGTTCTTTCAGCAGTTTTGGAACCGTCTGTGTACCTTTTGATGGTGTTTGCTTTAAGGGATTGGATGGATTCCATGCTCTATCTGTTTTTTCTACTCAGTTCGATGGAAAAGTTTTTCTCGAAACTGAACTTATCACGGCTTTTGGTAGATCCATGAGATGTGCACAGTTTGGGAGAGGAAAAGTTTTGCCAAGGTGCGTTTCCCTTTGTAGACCTATTCTTCTCCAGTGTGAGACATGATCCACTGGCAACCCGCTTCACTATTTTGCGGAGTGGTGTGAGGTCTAGAATTACTTCTAGTTCCGCGGTTGGGCATGATCTCATTGCTCCTATTATACAGAGACACGGGAGTCTTTGCACTTTTCCTAGGGTTTTCCTAGATGTTGGTAGGTGGGTTCGGCTATACCAGGCTACCGCTCTCTTTACTAGCTGGGTTTGTCTAAACCAGGCTACCGCTCCGTAGGTGATGATAGGTCTCACTATAATAGTATACTTCTTAGGATTGATGGGTTACAACCCCATGTTTTATCCGCAATGTTTTTGCGGACCATGAGGGCCGAAATTGCTTTGTTTTTGTGTTCTCTACATGTCGGTTCCAGAGAAGTTTAGAATTTAAGGTTATTCCTAGGAATTTAACTTCTTCTTTCCAATCAAGTCTGCTTTCATCGAGGCAAATGTTTCTCAGGTTTGGGAGTTTCGTTCCTTTTGTAAATGTTACCAGTGTGGTCTTTGCGCCTCTGTCTGACATCATTCCTTCGTGGTTCGAAGTGCTTTTTCTATAAGGTCTCAGAGTATTCCTTCGTATTTGCCTTTGGCCATGATGACAATATTATCGGCGTATCCGAAGCAGGTGGAGCCCTGATCGGTCAGTGAATTTAGGAGGTCATCAGCCACTAGACTCCACATCAAAGGTGAGAGTACTTCTTCCTACGGACATGCTCCAATGGTGGTGACCTGTATGGTTTGTTCACCCACGTCAGTTTCTGTAGTTCTGGTAGCTAGCACATCCAGGTGGATGTGGTTTTGTCCACTCCTTTTTTGACGAGCGCATTCTTTATTGACTCATGAGAGGTGTTACCAAATGCCCCTTCTATGTCCAAGAAGGCGCAGACGGCTACTTATTTATTATGCAATGTGCTTTGGATGCTGTCAGTGAATTCAAGTAAAGAGGTTTCTGCTGATCTGTCCGGTCTGTAAGCATGCTCCCCAGGATGTAGTGGCGTCTTTTCTGAAACACTTGCTCTGATGTAGTTATTAACAACTTTCTAAGCTGTTTTATGCAAGGCCATTTATTAATTATTTGCAAGTTTCTGTCATTGCTGCAGATGAAATTGGGTCTGCATCTCTTCGCTGGTTATCTTGGATCATCATTTGTAGTCACGAGTAAGGTTAAGTAAAACAGCTTATTTGGACTTATATTTATCAGTTTTCACGCGGAAAGCAAAACTATAGCCTTAATGAACCATTGAAAGACTTACCTAACTTTCGGAAAAAAATTGAATGGGTTCAATCAAACATCGTGAAGAATACTTTCATCGCAAAACATAACCGATGTTAGCATTCAAAAATGGGAGAAAATTGGATATTTAACAGAGAAACATATATTATTTTAGGCTAGTTGTATAATCCTTTTTAACTTACCTAAATATTTGTTCAGTAAAGAATATACACACATATAATAAATTATGTAATTTGTATCTTGGACGTTCTGTTGGGATTATGATGCTTTAGACAAATACAGTCCAGAAAATATACGGTCGGACCAAATACGTATGGAGCCAAAAACCTTTAACCACAATCGCCAATTTTAATTTTGTCTAGTTTGAAGAAAATATTAAGCTTTTTGGAGCAGTTTCAATTTGAACTGTTGATATCCTTGAGCCCACATTAATTCAGAATTTTCTCAATTCCAGGTTGCGTCCAGCAATTTATAAATTTAATCAACACAAGCACCCCAATAACAGACAACAACTTCTACTTTGTCCTGTTCACTCAAACTTTGGAAAAAATCTTCAACAAAGGCCTTATACGACAACAAAACACCAAGTTTTTCGAAAGAACCATTGATCCTTATTCATGGATGAGCAGCATCGCATCTGAATGTAGTTTTGCTTATACAAATTGCGTTGATCAAGTAAATGGAAGACTAGATTTGGCTACAAATGAAGGAAAGCTTAGATTACTGATTAAATATTGTCTGATGAAAAAATGCTCACATTTCCCCGTAGAAGCCTTAGTAAAATCGCAACATGCTCAAGTATTTTACGCTCCAAGTGCCATATTAGGAGACGAAATACTCACCGAGATATTTTTATCAGTTTTAAGACAAGTGGCAAACATAAATTTCAGTTTGGATTTGAAAAATTCTTCGTTTTTGGATTTGAGTTGGTACATTCCTGATGTTGTTTGTACGGAGTTGGTGCCTTGTAAAACTTTGGGAATAGCTGTAAGGTGAGCCAATTTAGTATAGATTTTTTTGTATTTTTGTGCCTTTTTTTGGTATTTCAGTTTTGCTGGAAACAAAGCTGTGATAGTAAATATTCAACCTGCGAGTGTTGCCGCAGAACATGTAAGTTCAAGGCTAGATAATTGCTTGAATCATAGACACTGACACTACTTATATAATTGATAACATAGTTTTAAACTCAGGCCATTCTTTAGGGTAATATCAAAATAGGAGACATCTTAGACGAACTAAACAATACCCATATAAACAATTCAACAAGAGGACGCCTAAAATTCATAATGAAAGGCAACAAACTGAAACCCATCAAAGTACGAATTGCTAAGGCTTATAGTAAAGACTCTGGAGAACTCTACGGACCTATAAAAAATATACTCAAAGATTTGAAACTTGATTTGGATAAAATCAAGAAACAGTATGAAGAAAATGCCAATGAAATTTGCCATCCGCAAAAATCTAAAAGCGTTTATGGTTATGCGGTAAAGCATGTGGGAAATGTGGATGTTGGTGAGTTTGGTAGCGTGAAGCAAGTGCAGAAAGCTTTGAAAACTATCATGGATACTCATTGTCAGACTCCAGAAACTGTGAAGAGGGTGGATAAAATGGTTACGTTGGAAATAGGGGAGATTGGACTGAAAATTAAGGAGAAAGATACAGGAAATGTGAGTTTGTGTGTAAAATAATTATTATTGAGTCAGAATTGGTGCACATGAGTATTTTTTTCGCTTATTAAAACTTTATAGTGCACCTTCATGAGAGTACTAAATATTTACTTTCAGTTGTTACTAGATCATCCTTATATGAAGATTTCCTCCTGTGGGACAATACCTGTTTTATCCAGAGTTTTTGCATATTGTGCTGGGTAAAAACAAATATCTATAGCTATGTTTTTATTAATCAAATATTTTTTTTTAGAGAAGAAACATGCGATATAGCCAATAATTTCACCTGCTACGTATTTGAAGCAATATCATTCGACGATGCCGATCTGATTTTACAAAGTATCGGTGAGTCTTCCTAATGTTATGTCTAATATTCCAAATGGCAATTTCGAATTTTCAGGTCAAGGATTCCATAGAACACATTATGCTGTATGAGAAGAAGCAGCGCATCAAATTTCTTGTATATCTACTTTTTATTCAATATGTACAATTTACCATAATGTAACTTGTATTATAAAAGAAATAAAACATTGATTTTATTTATGTTATTTTGTGTTTAATGTTCAAGAAATAATAATTATCACACGTTATTTTTTATTAGTAATATGTAGCAATGAAGAGATGCAGCGGAGAAAAAATTTAATGGATACTGGGAAAATGAATATCCATTAGATAATTTTAAAGTGGCATTGGTATCGGGTCTTCAAAAAAAAAAAACAATCGAAGATTGCTTTGATTACGAAAACGTACGTCGCATTACTGTTTCTTTATTGGTCAGGATTTTTGACATGCCATTCTGACATTAGGTTCATTGACAAAATGAAAGAAAAATTTTGCTAAGACATACGTTCAAAAAACCATAGCAATCTTTGATTGGTTTTTTTTTGAAGACCCGATACCAAAATTCACTATGTCAGTGGATAGAGGATAATAAACAAGATATCCGTAACATCTCCAGTTATATGATAATACTAATGTATTAAAATCTATGGTTTCAAAACATATTTTAGACCCGCAACGGCCATTTTGAGACAACAAAAAAATAATGGTATATAAGCAAGCACATAAGCACATACCTACTTATTTAGTTTCAATCACATACATATCACGATAAGAATAAAATATTACTTATTATTATATAAAAAAATAGATATAATATTTATGTATGTATTATATAATAATATACAAATATAATCATATTTACAAAAGAGTTATTATTAACATATTATGTGTGTACCTATCTATAATGAATGCGAAAAAAATAATACAGTCTCGAGAATATTTACATGTTAGCACGCGGTACTATTTATTTATTGATCAAGCAATCCTGCGAATTGGCGTCGCTATTCGTGTGACACCCATCAGCTGAAGAACTGCACGGACTCTGACAAGTACTGTTGTTGCAACTGGTATCGCTACAAGAACTGTTGTTTTTCAATTCGCAAATGTCGATAAATTCTTCTGCCATTGTTCTATCCAAACCTGGAATAAAAATCTAATATTAGTTCTGTAGTAAAATGATAATTGGTAGTCAGCGAAAGTTTAGTGATTGAGTTTTGGAAACAAGAGTTTGTATGTAAAATCGGCTTTTAGAGCTTCACTATCTCGAAAACGGGTTGAATTATTCTTCTTCTTCCGCCATTCAAGGTCGAACTCTAGACATAGAACTCTTATAATTTATGCGCTCTTGGTTCTGTGGTGCCATTTATTCTAATCTAGTTCACCTATCTTCATTGTCTCATCTCATCTAAGGGAGCTATCGTATTCGGGGTCATTCAGCTCTCAAAATTGCTTTTATATCTTTTGTCTATGTGTTTTCCAATGCTTCATTTCCAGCATCCAAGACTTTCGTTTTGTTTCATTGAGTAGTTTTTCGATCCTTCGTTCACCAATCTTATTCCTAGCAATACACTTGTTTTTCAATTTGTAGGACGTTGTTGGATTCTATAGGTTTTTAAAAGGGATTTTCTGTTGATTGAATGCAGAAGTCTTTACCCTGTACTTCTAGGATTTTGTGAGCTGGGTATCATTTGATGAGTTGGTTTCACGGTTTATTTTGAAGATTCTAGTATTCAATTCAAATTTTTAATCCATATTCAAAAGTCGCCTTGGACCTTAATGCTATTCATTTGTAAATAATTCGTCCAAAGTATAAATTGCCCAGTCCAAAAACTCCTTGGTCATACACCGAAACCTTCTGTAACCTGGTAAGCTTCCTAAGTTCAGTAGGCTAAGCATTAAACATCTTTTTTTTGCGTTGTAAACGAAGGAGTTCTTTACTAATGTCAAATGTGGAATGGGTAAGTGTAGCATTCGTTGGCGACGAGCTCCCTTCTGCTCTTGTCTATTCGACTCCTCAATCAATTTTTTAAAGACAAAAATACACTTTCAAGAATAAATATACAGCACAAGGCTAAAATTTTGTACTGCAACTGCAGAAATAGAGCTTTGCATGAAAATACCCTTCTGAGTCTAAATACATTTCTAAGTGCTCTCTTCTGCAAACCAGATACAGATTTAACAAGGTAGTTTGCACAACACCCCCAGAAGCAAATTTCATAGGAAAAATGTGATTGAGTTAAAGAAAAGTAGGCATTCCTAGCTAGTATTTCAAGGCTGAGGTTATCTAATATTACTTTAAGTACCTACAGCAGCCAGGAGCAATTTTCTATCAAGAATTTTGACATGTTTAGACAACTCAAGGTTTTCATCTATTGTTAAGCCAGAAAATTTATTTGATTCGGGATTCGAAAGAACTTTATTTTCCAGTTGAATGTAGTTAATGTCACATTTCAAATTGAAAATAATACTTTTCGAAATATTAAGAGATACTCGGTTTGCAACAAATCATTCTTTCAAGGAAAATAAATCGTTCTGAATAATCTTAGAAAGCCTGTCAACTTCCTGGTCATGCTAGAGAATTGTCTGATTATCCGTAAAGGCTGTAATCTCTCCCTTATTGGAAAAATTAACAGTGAATCCAAATTGCATTCCCGAATTCAATCCAGCAAATGAAAATTAAATCTGCATCAGGTGGTTGGATAAAATAGATCAGCTGGCTCATATAAATCAGTGGGACGAAAAAGTTGTGATTTATCACATGGAAAGTAGGCTAGCTGGTTTAGAAAAAACCTGATACGACAATCTGGATGACTATAGACATTTTTGGAGTGAGTGGAAGGAGTTGCTCACACATGCTTTTCCAGACCATCATGATTTTCCTACCAAACTGAAAAATTTCATTTCCAGAGTGAAAAGTTCAGATGAAACCGGGAGTGAATACTATTTTGCGAAGCGACAACTACTCAGACAGTCTCAAATTTCGGGCAAAAACGCTGACGGCATTCCCGACAAAACACTTCAATCTGGCGCCAAAGTAAGCAAGTATGTTTGTGCAGAGGATCTTCACCGAGAATATCTATCAGCTTTGGAAAATACATGATTCCAACATACAATTCCATATGGCAAACAAGAATTTTCTCGAAGGCCAGAAAAGCATAGGACGGAATACTCTAAAGATGATCGTTTCAAATCAGATTCTAAGCGGAAGTTGAGAGCCAAGTGATATAACTGCGGAGAAACTGGTCTCATGCAGATTCGTTGTCCAAGGTAAACGCTGCAATGTTCCCTGTGTAAAAAACTGGACATTTCGCTGAGAAATGTTTCAAAAACAAAAATATTAGCACCAAATTCAAGGAGCACTCGACTTCAATGTGTGACATTCAGGAGACAGTAAAAGGTAAAAGTGGACGGTTACTATGTGGACTGTTCCATAACCGGTAACCGATTCAAGGGGTTTAATGATTCCCAGAAATCGTAACAATCAGGGAAACCGACACCAAAACTGCAGGAATAAGTTGGGCCGACTGTGATACCTATCTGAATGGCTGTGGTAGATCTACATCACAGGTCCTGGGCATTGCTGAAGTGAATCTGAATGTGAATCTTTTCAAGTCTGACGTCTCAGTTTACATTGTGCCTGACCATCTTCAGGTTATGTCCATTTTAATTGGTAGATCTGTTTTGAGCGAACCAGAAGCTATAACTGTGGTCAAGAATGGCAGTGTACGGCTGTTCAGCACCAGATTTACAGATCTCCCTAAAATTGATAATTTACCAGCCAAACTTATATTGAAGACTAGAAATAAGGTTCAGATTCCTTCCCACCATATTGGATATGTGAGATTTGTGAACAATGGCGATTATGATGGTGATGTTTTTGTGGACAGACGCCAATCATTTCAACCACTCAGGGAATATATTAAACCTAACTGTGTGACTTTAACCAGTGCTGCTATATTTCCAATACTGAATATGTCACAAAAAACATTGTTTGTGCTAGGTGTTCCATGCAAGCGTGAAGACGAGAGTGAGCATCAATAAAGTTAATTTAGTAGATTTGCCCAAATTCACCTTCAGTGACTTGAAGTATCAGGTTTCAACAAATTTACCTCAGAGCGATGCTCAAAAACTCTTATTGTTATTGAATAAATATCGTGACTGTTTTGCTCAGAATGTTAATGAATTGGAGAAAATTGAGGGTGTAGAAATGGACGAGAGGCCTGTGACATATACAGACCTTATCGTTTTTTCATTAAGTGAGAGGGAAAAAGTGCGAGAGATAGTGAACAGCCTTCTATATCTGCTAATATAATCCAAGATTTAAATTCTCCATACGCTAGTCCTATTATCGTTGTGAAAAACAAAACCAACGGGACAAGAATGTGTGTGGATTTTCGCGCTTTAACTTCGAAAACAATCAAAGACAGTTACCCGCCTCACACTGATGATCACTTTGAAGTACTTAAGGGCTGTAAATTATTCACTACTTTGGACATGGTTAGTGAATACCATCAGATTCCCATGGCGGAGGAGTCAAGGCAGAAAACGGCATTCGTCACTCGGGATGGGAAATATGAGTATCTCCGTATGCCATTCGGTTTGGTTAACGCTCCACCAATGTTCCAGAGAACCATGAATAAAATATTGGGCGCTATGCGATATTCTACTGCGATGGCCTACATGGATGATGTTTTAGTGCCATCTACAAACTTGAATTCCGGTTTGATTGCTCTTGCAGATGTCTTGGAGTATTTCAGAAAATCAGGCGTTACTCTACGGCTTGAAAATGCAAATTTTTCCAGGAAAGTATTGATTACCTAGGACACGAAATTAGTGCAAATGGTGTACGATCCGGTACCTACTGTGAAATTTCAAGCAGTAAAGAATTTTCTCATGCCTCAAAATGTCCACAATGTTCGACAATTTGTTGGACTCTTGCCGTTATTTCAGGAAAAACGTGAAATCATTTGCTCAAATCTCACGACCATTTACTTTGTTGACTAAAAAAGACACTTTATTTATATGGGAAACTGATCAGCAGGAAGCATTCGAAAAATTGAAGTCGATTCTGACTGAGAAACCAGTCCTTGCCATCTGTGATCTGAAAGCAGAAACAGAGGTTCATACAGATGCTTCTAAATTTGGACTAGGCGGAATCTTACTACAAAAACAGCTAAGGAAGACGGAAAGTTGGGACCGGTTCAATATTTCAGCCGACAGACTACCAAGGAAGAAGGGCGATACCATTCATATGAGCTCGAAACGCTGTCTGTTGTGAATACTCTTCAACGATTCTGAATCTACCTGCTAGGACTTGAGTTTAGAGTAGTGATAGACTGCAGTGCATTGACCACAGCAATGTCCAAACGGAATATAATTTCAAGAATTGCACGATGGTGGTTGGTTACTCAGGAATATAGGCTCTCAGTCGAGTATCGTCCAGGAAGTAAAATGGCTCATGTGGATGCTCTGAACCGCAATCCTGTTGAAAAGCCATAACACTTTTGATGTATGGCAAGTCGACAAAAGTAAGGAGGACTGGATTCTAGCAGCACAGATAAAAGATGAGCGCTGCAGATATTTATTCGAAGTGTTGTCTAAAAAACCAGATGATACGGAAGAAAAATAAATCCACGAGGACTTTATAATTAAGGATCTCAGATTCTATAGGAAAACACCTGATGGTATAAGATGGTATGTTCCTAAAGAAGCAAGAAGAGGGTAACAATATATCACCATGACAATAGAGGACACTTTGCAACCGATAAAACTTTGAAGAGCATTGGAATTAACTACTGGTTTCCCATAATGCGAAAATACGTTTTTCGTTACATAACTGCATGTTTATCATGTGCTCACAATAAAGGTCAATCTGGAAAACCAGAAGGTTACTTGTATCCAATAGAGAAGGCAGTGGTGCCACTTAATACTCTACACATAGACCACCTGGGCCCCTTCATGCAAAGTACAAAGGGAAATTGCTATCTTATCGTAGCTATTTGTGCTTTTACCAAGTTCATATTCGCTAGAGCAGTAAAGAGTACCCAAACGAAACCGGTGATCAACTTCCTAGAGAGTATCTTCAACACATTGGAAGTTCCACGCCGAGTGAAAGCTGATAGAGGACCCGCTTTCACGAGCAGCTAGTATTCAAATTTCACTAAGGAATTGGGAATAAAATTTATATTGAATGTTAGAGGAACGCCACGTGCCAACGGGCAAGTAAAGCGTTATAACACGACACTGCCCAATGCCATTTCATCTAGTTATGATGATGGGAAGAAATGGGACACAACAATAGACTCTATAGTTTTTGGCATCAACGCCGTGCCCAACAGTAGGTATGTACCAGAAAGAAGAGCGCGCAACTGGTGCTAGGATATTGTCCCAGAGCTATGAACGACTCATTTTTGAGTTATGCTGTTGCGGTCAGAAACGGAATTGGTGAATGGATACGACGTGCTCAAAATAGACGAAAGGCTTATTTTGATGCTAAACGTAAAAGAAGTCATGATTACGGCATAGGGAATCTTGTTCTAATACGTAGGACAAATGTAACGAACGATGGCAAAAGCAAAAAAGCTAATACCCAAATTTAGTGGACCCTATGTAGTCAAGAAAGTGCTTGATCATGACAGATTTTTAATAGAAGACCTGCCAGGTTTAGGGCAGGGCCTGCACGCAGGAGGTATCAGGGTGTTTGGTCACCTGACAAAATTAAGCCATTTAAGGCTGCTTACGAATGCAGTAGTAATGCAGAGTCTGGGAATGTTGTTGTCAGTGAGGATACAAACAAAAGGTCATATTTTTGGTGTATTGTATGTTTTGTAATCTTTTATAGGAACCAGGATTGCTGGACCAGGACATGAGTGAGATTTCTGGGATAGAAATTTAGTAGCATGGCCGACTGTAACGCACCTATCTATCGGAACAGCAAATATGGACCTTGAACCTTTTTTAGTTGTCAAGTCGAGGAAAAATGGTGTAAAAGGGTACTAGGACAGGTAGTTTTTGTAGTAAAAAGAATTCAACTCATTTGCTCTGAGATTTGAGGAAACCATAGACGAATTTTCACCTCCAAACTTATTTACAAGCTTCCATGATTCTCTATTCTCTAACCCAAACTAACCCAAACTTCCTAAATTTTTTCTTAGTGAAAAGTCTGCCTTGTTTAAAGATTTTTCTTGATTTACTGGAATTGACTGGAAATGGCCAGAATATTGCTTCGTGATTAGATAATTCAGCATTATTTGTCGAACATTAGAGTTTCCATCTGATCAAATGATGAGCAGACATAATCTATCAACGTAAGAGGTAGTAGGGGTTATTCTTGTTGGTTCGGCATTGCGAGATTATAAGGACTGGGATTGACTCAAATAATCAACGTTAAGGTCACCCACAACAATTACCGAAGCATTACTGGATTTCTCTGAGAGCAACATATCCAGCTTTTCAAAAAAAAGATATTCATATTTGCCACTGGGGACCTGTAAAAATCCAAAAACCTCCATGACGAAATATTGGAATATTCCTGCAGTATTTCTGCTCATAGTGATGAAGTCACAAAACAACTTAACTATCAAGGCTGGCTAGGAAGTGGGAATCTTGGGACAATAATAAATTTCTCCTTAGGTTTGATCAATGTTCGTGCAAGGTGTTCCGAACCCTCGACGAATCCTTATTTTTTGGTGACGTGCGACTTGCGACCATAATTTCAGTAAATCTCCTTAAAGGCACTAAGGGATAGATCAATTCTGAAAAATTAGTTGCGTTTTCTCTGTTGAGTTTGATCCCGATATACAGTGTTAGGATTGGTGTCGTTCTAGAGTCAAGACAAGATAATATTTAGGTGTTTGTTCTTGTTCAACTGCGCTTCATTTTCAGAGTGGTTTAAGATGGCTGACCTAATTCAATACATATGAACCCAAAAACTCAAATACAAAAGAGAATATAACATAAATCATCAATACTTCTGCTCATATCTTTTCAAAAAACTCACCTGTATAAGTTCTAACGACATCTTGTTCGGTTATTTGAGGTTCTTTGCTTTTGGACTTGGATCTGAAGTTTCTCGGAGTCGGATCTCGGCTTCTCGACTTTGATTTCGATCTGGACTTTGACTTGGTTGGTCTGTAGTGCTTATAGACTTTGGTGATCTAAAAAAAAGATACAAGAGAATTATTGGAAATTTTTAGCTTATTTATTGAAGTAAGATTTTTTTCACGCAGCAGACGCAGGTTAGCTTTTTCCAATGCCTATGTGTCTGGAGTCTGGGAAAATTGAAATCTAATCAGTTGTCAGGATGGAAAACCAGTGGAGCATCTGCTAGTGTTAGAACAATATGCTGATAACGAGAGATTATTATCTTCGAGCAACTATTTCAATCTAGGTAGGTATTTGAAAATTGAAGAGCGAAGGCTTTCTGAGTTTTATTCTAGTTAATGTTTTCTGGACTTGTGGCCTATGGTCTTAAGATACTATTAGCTGATGTGGTTGTCTGCTCGTAGTAATGCAAATACCTCAGAAATAAGGCTTTAATCGACAAAATTAAGCATAGGATTAAAGAGTCAATTACATCCACTTAACTTAACTTAACGTACGGTCCGTACGGAAAATTATAATCAACGTATGAAACTGAAAAGGTGTGTGTTTACAATAAAGTTAATTTTTCTACGTGTAATCACCAATGACATTAATAATCACAGACTAGGTAGTTCAATCTGTCCGTCATTCATAATTCTTCTGGGTCGGACTAATATGAATTCATCTCCGGATGTGTTCAACAAGTGTGTGTAGCATTTTTAATTTCTTGTTTGATATGCTACTGTGTTTTGCTCTAGTAGATATGATTCTATATAGAACTACAATGAAATAAATGAATAAACAACTGTCTTTTCTGTGCCCAGATTTTGTTACCTTGATTACTGCCTTCTACTGAAAGTTTTTTTGTGCAGGTTTGCAAGTTTTGTTGATTGATCTAAGAAGGTTTGATTCAGTACGGCAGGGCCCGCTGTTATTGATTAGAATCTTAGGAAAAGGAGGTAGTACCATCATCATCTCTGTTTGCAAATCCAATCAATAATCTGAGGGTATGATAAATTGTTGTTTACTCTTTGATTTTTCATTTCCATCATGTCATTGTCTGTTTTGTCTAGGCGTTTTCTTTAGACCTGTTCTACTTTTTGATATATGTTCTATAGGCATTTTTCAATATTCACCAGTCATTTTTATACAACCAAACTTTCAGTTCGTATTCTTGGAGTGAAATTGAACACGCTTTTTTCTATAATTTTCTTCAATGTCAAAATTAGAAGTTGGACAAGTGAAAGCCTTCTTCCGAAATCTAAAGGAAGAATCAGCCCTTTTGATCTTGAGACTTGATACCGAAAAGTTGGTCTCGGCCCTATTTGATTTTGGGCGAGACTTTTTGGAATTTTGTGCCAGGGAACTCAAGGTTTAGACTAATTTCTTGTTGATAATTGTCTAGAGTCGTCCCTTGGTCATTTTGGATTTTGTTTCGGTAAGTTTTTGAGATTTTCTTCAGGATTATTAACCTACAACACGTGTTTCGTTCCTTCAATAGGACTGTTCCGAGCAGCTTTTGGAAGTTTAACAATTCACCTTTGGTCTAGAGGATCCCTCAATTTGAGGTAAGATTATTTCTAATATTTGGGGCTCGATTTGTTTTTTTATACGAACATCGTTATAGGGTCCTACTCCTAGTCCTAGTGCTAGGCTGTAGCTAGACAGTCTTAGGCTATAGTTGGACAGCTCCTAGAAAGAGATTCTAGACTAGATCTAGATTGTTCTTAGTTGGCTTTGGTAGCCTCCCTTCAGCAACCCTCTTGGTACCGCTCTGCTAGAACCACATTGAGTTCTACGTAAAACAGATACCACGTGGATAGGACTCATAACTATGACTCACTTACCATACCATAGTCTATCTACAGTGAGACCGAACCTGTAGATAATATCCCTTCAAAACTTCTGGATTTACACACACCTTTGAAGATAATCAACACTTGTACACATGTAAGTTGCACTTTTTACTATTTAGGCAAATCTTATATAAATCACTTGCTACTGATTTACGTTCGGTAAGTGCCCCTTAAATAAAATTCTAGAATTTTACCCTGAGGTTGCCCAAACAATAACTTCCACCTTTCCGGTGTTTAATTTGCCTTTTGCCTGTTGGTAAAGTGTAACCCATACTGTGTTTTTATTATCACTCACAAGTGTAAATACCAAACAGTTTTAGTCATGTTTATTTTAAATTCACATATTCATTATTTTTTTTTTTTTTTACAAACCCACAACAACTTTTAATTTTTAAGAAAAAGCAACGCATAAGACTGAATAACTAATTTCAAATCAACAAGAATATAAATTCACAATAATTCATAACAAATGTGTTGTGAGCAAACAAATGAACCTAAAGGTTTGTGTGTGTATGCTCTAAGAAAAACTATATATGTATATTATTGGCTTAAGATTATCACAAGAGAAAAAATAAATAATAATACGTTATTCTAAGTGAAACAACAATACAAAAAATCACAATTATCATTACTTAATTCAATAGCGGAATAAGTATTAACTTATTCTCAGAGATCCAGGAGTTTATTTTCTTTTTGGATTTGTTATAACATTTATTTTTAAATTCATTTGGAAGGACGTTATAGATCTTGGGACCGACAAATGCAATATGTTTTTGAGTTTTAGTATAGTGCATTCTAGGTATAATAAGTTCACCCGCATTCCTTGTGGCAACATTTGTACTTTTGTAGGTTCTGAAGATATCATATTTGACCATAAATCGAGCCAAAATTTTGACAGTGAGCAATTGTAAGGAAAGCAGTTCAGCATCACTAAATAGGGTAATGGAGGAATAAAGTCTATCCTTAAATAAAATTATTTTTACTATGGTTTTTTGTATCACATTAACTGGTTTGAGAGCTTTTTTAGACGCAAGGCCCCATACAACCAATCCATATCCTAGGACAGATTCAACAAGAGAATGATACACCATTTTAATAGTTTTTTGCTTAAGGATTTGCCTAAGTTGTAGGAATTTATACAGGAGCTTTCTTAGTTTACTCGTCACATATTCAATATGTTTCTCATATTTTAAACATTGATCAATAAAAACTCCTAAATACCTTACACAATCTTTCTTTTTGAGTTTAGTTACATTCTCCTGCCAAAGCACATCCCACAACATGGACTGTCAGGCATTCCTGGGTTGGCTGAGTCGCCGCTGTCTTAGTGAATGTGACAAAATTTGTCTTTTCTGTATTAAGGGTCAATAAACTTATATCCGACCACTGCTTAACATCATTAATAGCTTTTTCAGCCTTTGTATATGTCTCATTCCAGGTGGCAGAACTGATCAACAACACCGTATCATCAGCAAAGCAGATAACCTTTGCATGTTTTGTTATTTTAGTTATTTCATTTATGTAGATAGTAAAAAGGACAGGACCAAGGACTGTTCCCTGTGGCACACCAAATTCCGCCGTGAATGCTTCACTAAGTTCGTTTTCTATTCTGACTTTCTGAGGCCTTTCACTAAGGAAAGATTTGAATAGCTGCAAATATTTTCCTCTTACACCAACATCATCCAGTCGTTCCAACATTATTTGGTGTGACACAGTGTCAAACGCCTTGGTCAAGTCTAAAAATATTCCTATTGTTTTTAGATTTTTATCTAAATCATCCACAATTTGGTCTGTTACCTGACACAGTGCATTCTCCGTCCCAACACCATCCTGAAACCCATACTGTTGAGGAGAAATTATTTTATGTTTTTGCAGAAAAGAGATAAGCCTTGATTTTATACATTTTTCAATTAACTTCGATATAGTGCTTGTTAGGGATATAGGTCTGTAGTTAGTCATAAGATTCCTTTCACCAGTTTTATAAATAGGGATGATTGTAGTTTCTTTAAAGGTAGCTGGAAAAATACATTTATTTATGATTAGATTAGTAAGATGTAACAGTGGTTGAAGTAGATACTGGTGAAACATTTTTAAAATTTTAGGGGCAATGCCATCATTGCTAGATGCTGTGGATTTTAGTGAATTTATTAGTAAAATCATTTCATTCCTTGTGATTGGTTCGAATCTACACGTAGATGGGTTTCTCCAGGGCTTATGACACTGCCTAGGCGCAGAAGATATCTTTTTTGCCAGTTTCTTTCCAATTGTACCAAAAAACCTATTAAACTCACATGCCATACCTCTAGCATTGGATATCAGCTGTCCGTCCTGTGTTTTTATATTTTTTATTTGCAAATTAGTTTTATTTTGATTATTTATGTTTTTGATAGTCTTCCAAGTTTTTTGCGGATCACCCTGACACCTGCCTATAAGTTGCCTGTAATAATTTATTTTGGAAGTTTTTATTAATTTAGAGAGCATATCTCTATGCTTGAGGTAGTTATTACGGGCAATAACATCAGTAGGGTTTTGGGCATATATTTTTTTCAATTTATCTCTTTTATTATGGACACTAGCAGTCCAGCCGATATCCAAGGTTTTATACGAAAATCTTTGTTTGTAATATGTTTTTGTTCTAATGAGAGGTTTATTTTTTGTTCTGATTTTTCCACAAAGGACCTGGCACATTGGTCCACATCCATTATCTCAAAAATGTCATTCCACTGCTCCTGCTCAAGCAGCCTTTTGAATTTTTCATAGTTTAGCTTTTCTGTGTGTGATATTATTGTCAGACTCTTGGCTAATATTGTTTTTTGTTTTGAACTGAATAACTACTGGGTAGTGATCATGTGTGTCACTTACTTTTGCTCTTATTATTGCAGTAGACATTTGCTGCACATAATTATTTTTACTTCTAATAAAACAATGATCCAGGCAGCTTTTCTGGTTTCCCCGTTCTCTTGTTACCCCCCTAACTTTACAAGAAAAGCCATAGACTGCAAGACAATTCAGATACCTATCTAGAGCTTTATTTTGGTTTTCCAAGAGATTAATATTTATGTCCCCAAGAAAAATGCTAGCATCAACTTTATCACACAAATGCTCACCGAACAAGTCTTCCAGTGAACTTATAAATTGCAGCTTATCTAGTTTTGGTGATCTATAGGTCCCAAAAACCTGAAACTTCCTATTATTTTTTTCCACAAGAACTTTCAAAA